CATCCTTCGCCGTCTTGCCGTTGGATGACGCTGACAGCGCCACACCATCGGCGAAAACCCTTCGAGACATGGCTCACCGAGCTGGCCGTCATGGACCCCGTGACTCGCTATCGGGGCCTGATGACAAGCCCAAGCGCACCGTGCACTGTCCAGATGGCATTCCAGAAGTTGTCGACCCTTGTCCGGCCACGAGTGGGCCACTCGACAACGCCGCTGTTCCTAAATCAGCGGCGCGTGCGCAGAGTCCAGTTACACCTGAGCAAATGCGCTTGGCTCAGCAACGCCGCACCGCACGCGTAGTCCTCTTAGATGACGAAGACGATGATGCGGAGGAACAGGTCGTGGCCCCACGAGAGACGTCCACGGACAGTGCCGAGCCCATTGCCCAACCACCAGGCGCGATCGACACTGCAACAACATCTGAGCGGCTCTCCCCTCGGGTCCCGAGCCCCAGTGGGGACCGTGCGGCCAGCCCAATATCGGACGGGCATTCCAACAAGGGTGCCGCAGGTCGTGCGCGTGAGCTCAAGGGTCTATTGGCAGAACGCGTCAAGTTGCTCGATACTGGGGATGCCAGTTCAAAAAAGCAGGCCCATGGCGACATTTCTCGCAAGATTGAACAAGCACTGGCTGAGCGCGAAGCCCATGTTCGGGCCCAGTTGGAGAGTGAGCGTGCTGCAAGAGAGGCCGCCATTAAAGCAGAGCTTGAGCAGAAGCGTGCAGCTCGCCGAGAACATCTTCAACAACAGCAACAAATGCAACAGTCCGTTGTGCTTACGAATGACCCCGCCAAGACTCAAGCACTAGCCTCCCCGGCCGAGCCTTTGCCATCTTCCCCGCCGTTGGTACGCGAGCCGTCCATCGATTCGGCCGAGATTGCTGAGGCCCTCGCTTCGCCCACCAAGAAGAAGATAGGATTTATACGGCGCAGCCTTCGGCGCTTGTCCTCCAATAGCGATGACCGCAATACGGAAAGCAAGAGCAAGCGCCGCCGTGCGCCAAAACCGGACACTTCGACCATCACTGAGAACACCGCCTCTGCTAGTTTGTCAGCTCGCAACCCTGTTGCAGCTAGTGAGGATGCATCTTCAGGCTCGGGCCATGCCAAAGGCCGCTTGACGGACCTGATCCGCCTCTTTGAGAATAAGACTGATGCACCGGCCAGCTCTGACCGATCAACCCAAGAGCCGCGCCGCTCAATTCGTCGCATGTTTGGTCGCCGTAGCAAGAAGGGTCGCAACTCCATTGCCGATGAGGAAGTTCCCGAGATTCCACTTGCCCCGCCGGCCCCACCGGCCCCATCTGCGCCAACGTCAGCCGAGATTACCCAGACAACAGCAAAAACAACAACAACAACAACAACACGTGCATCCCCCTCGCCTTCCCCTGTTACAACACGCAAGAAAGCACCCGTGCCTCTGCCATTGCAATCAGATGCCCGATCTGAACCAAATCCAGCTGCACCCCCCGTTGTGCCACGCAAGCCAGGACGCGAGAGCGTATTTGAAGTGCTTGTGCCCGTCGCGAGAGTTTTCGAGCGCAGCCCCAGCGCACCCAAGATAACCCCACCCGTGCCCACCAAGCCCCGTGCGCCTGCCATTGCTGACACGCTCAAAGCCACAGTGTCACGTTTCGAAGCGATTGCTGCAACCGACGAACACGACAGCCCTCAAGGCTCGATCGATCTGCTCGAGGTGTCACCTCGATTGTCCTTGTCCACCGTGCAAGGCCGCGGTAGCTATGATTGCGTAAGTTTAAATCAGATGACGCTTCTATCTCGCCACTTTATGCCTCGACATCTCATCGCATCTATTCCTCACCTCCATCTGCTATCGTATAGGCCATCTCTGGCACCTGGCTGCCACGGCAGGAAGAGTCAGCATCACGCAAGCCATCACACCCTGCTGTTCAAGAGCAAGACTCAGAGGCTGGCTCTGAAACATGCTCTGAAACAGCAGGCATCGAGCCAGTCCCTCCCACTGCCCCACGATCATCCCTGTCACACACAGTCACAGCCTTACGTGCATCCCCAAAAGCTTCTGATGCCGTTCAAACCTGCCCCAAGGTGGAATCATGCACTGACGAAGCGCCTACTAATCAGGCACCCAATGAGGAGTCCTACTTTGCGTGCGAATACCTGCGATGCACAGCACATGAGGTATTACGACGACGTGGCGTGGATCCGGCGCAAAAGGAATCATACCTGAGCCCGTCAGATTTCCGACAAGTCTTCAACATGAGCCGCGACGATTTCGTTAAACTGCCTCTCTGGCGGCAGCAACAAAAGAAGAAATTGGCCCGCCTCTTCTAAAACCTCACTGCAACGTGGCCTGTGAGCCTTGCTAGCTTGAATGTCGTGAGTCTTATCATTACATGGATACTTGTGTCATGTTTTGCTCTTCGACAGTAGAAGGTGTGATGTCAGTACATTGGTTGTGGCAGAGTGGGCTGTGCCCTCAAAAAAATCAATATTCGATAAGTCGTACAACGCGTATTCGTCAAAGTAAAGTGCAAAAGGCTATTCTCTGCCGCAAAAATCTGAAGACAAAGAACCACGAAGTGATGAGCGCGAGTGGCTTGACGCGCGCGCGCAGGCACATGCGCACACGCTCATCAACCAGCAAGGCGGCAACAAATAACTGCACACCCCATGACAAGCAACAACAAGACGCCATACGCCAGCAGATAAGACGGACAAGACGAGGGAATCCCAACAACAATCAAGAGCATGCCGCAGATGGAACGGAAGCAGGACAAAAGAGACAAAGGGAAACATGAATGAAGAGCTTGCTGTCAATCGTGACAAGACACAAATCACACTGTGCCCTTGTTCGTGGCAAACAAACGAAAAAAGAGTCTAAGAAAAGAGTTTGACTCTACTTGCGTAGAGCAGAAGCGTCTTCGGTGTTGGCTGCACTGAAGGTGCCTGGAAAGTTGGCTTGACGGCCCTGACGCTTGGTGGTGTACTTTGTATAGTTGAGCACATCCGTCTTCACATGCTCTGCAAGACAGCCCCAGCCAGACACGGGAAAGTAAGAATTCGATGAGGGGTTTAAATGTGCAAGGCTAAGGCCAGAATCATGGCCTGCCCAAATTGTGACCTTTGAACAAGTAAGAACACTTACTGCTCTCCGTCGCAACCTTGGAGGTGGTGCCGCGCAAAAAGTTGTCGCAGGATTCACGCTCCGCTTGTGTGGTATGTTTCTCAAGCCACGAACCAATCCAACCCCGAAACTTGTTGTGCTTGCGCACCCGTGATTGAGGTGCCTGGCGTTCAGACTGGGGAGGGATTTCGCGGTGCCGGAAGAGCAGATCGCCCGACTGACAAGTGATAAAGACGGACAGGTGTGGTGTTGAGAAGGAGGCGCCAAACATCGAATGCAGAGGGTTTAGACAAGGACGAGATGCAACCCGGGAAGGTGCACGTACTCGCACGACGAAAAACATTTTGTAAGCATTGAGTCGGAAGTGGCACTCGAGCTTGTTGTCAAAAACGACGCGATCCTCCCAGTTAGCTTGCTGTTCGTAGCCCGCCTTGCGTTTGTTTCTAAAGAAGGTAGGATCAGAGCAGTAAACGGTGAGGCATTCGCTGAGGCATTGGCAGGGTATTCCCAGGAGTAACAACGAGCACGCAGCAAAGAGAACAGAAGCAACGAACCGGTTGAGAAAAGGCTTGTGGACAGACTGACGGAGGAGATCTTCGTCTAAATGGCTGAAATCCATGTATTTCTCGATGTAGTTGAGCCAATTGGCACCGGCCGTGGTTGTCGTGCCATCAGGCCCTGGCTCAAGGTCGATAATTTCAACGCAAATCTTGCCATCGGCATGGTACGTCTTGTACAGCGTCTTGTTAGAGTCGCCCAAGGTGTGCACAACATAGGTCAAATAGTCCGTCTGTGTGGACTCATTGGCTGATTCGCCGTCAAGCGTGAAGCGCTCGCCAGCCAGATTACGCAAGAAAGCACCCGAGAGCGCTGAGCTGGGATGATCCATCAACGTCTCCAGCTGGCGGTACAAAGCGTGTGCCAGCTTGTCAATAGTAGTCAGCTGATAGGAAGCTGTGGTAAAGAGATCACGCATGGCGTCCTCATACGACTGCATGTCGCTGTTGCCCTCCACCACATTGGTCGTCAGCTCCAAAAAGACGTCCAGTAGTGCTGAGCGATCATACTCGGCTGTAGTTTGCAACCAGTGCCACCATGAGTTCCAAGCACACGACCGAGTGCACCTTGGCTTGGCGCGCATCCTCTTCCCGGCCCCAACGCGATTGAAGCCTCAGTGAACTTACAGGGCAGGGTCAGTGCCAAGAAGACGGCAGTAGGGCGCTCGTGCGCCCGCTTCCCCTCTGGATCATCACGCAAAGCCTGCTCGCACTCGCGGCAAATCTTGACAATGTTAGCCACGCGCGTCCACAGCATCTGGATACAGTTGGAAGATGCAAAACGGGAAATGAGTTGGCCTGAGCGTCCAAGTCTGAACAGGAGGGCAGGCCAATCTAGAACGTTAGAAACGCACGTTATACTGCATCCAGAACACGGCCCACCGACTGCTGCAGTAGAAGACATTTGCAGGCGTGCTACCTCGAAACTTGACCTGCCACCATGGCAAGGTGGAAACGAAAGAAGGAATGAGCTGCCACGTGCATATGCAACGCTTGCCGGAAAGCTTGCCTCTGAGGTCTTACCTTCGTCATGATTGATTCGACGCCCTTGCGGGGCTCGCCAGACGACGCGCCTTCGCCCCGGTTTTGCTTCGAGGGCACGGAGAACTCGCCGCTGATATATGACGCCACAAAATCGTCCAAGAGGGCCTAATTGGTGGACGAACAGCAAAGACTGTGTCAGAAACAACTGGCTCACTGGTCTTCTCAAACGCCCCCTCGCACATCAAGCAGGTGTTGCTGATACTGCTACAAACGCACCGCAATGTTATCACGGGTCTGTTCGCCGCTCTTTGACACCTTGTTGTAGGCAGCCAACACAATTTGGTTGACATACTTGCGCACATCCTGAAAAATCAAACCCGTGAGAAAACCGCAAGAAAGCACGCAAGAAAGCAAGGAACAAATCTTTTGCAACCGAGTGCGCGTTTTTGAGGCAGAGAGGAAAAAGCTGTCAACCAGCAACAAAGCGTCACTTGATCAATACCTCAGAAAAGTCCAGAAGCTCGCGGGGCAGGTACAGCGACCGATCGACGTCTGCGCCACTGCGGAGTTCCTTGAGAGCCTGCCCCAGCGGAATGACAAGATCATGCAGGCAAGCCATCAGATTAGTTGGTGGGTGTCTCGGGGATGCAGTACCATTCAAGACGAGGAAATAACATCTTGATGGAAAGCAACCTCCAGAGCTGAAACAGTTGGCAAGCGTCTCTTCCTGCTTACCTTGCGCGCTTGTTCACGCTTGTCCTTGAAGTTGGCGCGGATGATCTTGGCCTTGATGGCGCTGGTATCATTGCGCTTGAAGGTGGAAGACTTATTGTCAAGCGATTTGAGGTAGTTCTTCTCAATCACATCACGCCACGACTCGTTCCACGCACGCTGCACCTTGCGCCATTCTTGCTGCTTCTGCTTCAGGCGCTGCAGCACGATGGGGATGTGTGCATAGGGGTCGCGGCGAAGAGCCTGCAAGACGTCGTCTGTTCGCGGGCCATAAATGCGGGACACGGCTTTGCGGTGAATGCTCTCTGAGCGTCCACCAAGGTTCTTGATGTTGAACGAGTAGGTTCGGCGCTGATCCTCGGGGCGCAATTGCAACTCATGCATGACCATTTCCAGCACACGGATTGTGGCAAGGTTGCACTCCAAAATCAAATCCAGCTCAAAGCGTTCATCCTCACACTAAGGGAAAAAAAAAAAAAAAAAAAAAAAAAAAAAAAACGACGAAAGCACGCAGGTTAGTGATGCTACCTAAGCCTATCGACGGTAAAATACGAAGCACATGCCGTATTGGGAAGCGAGTGCCCTTGAACATGATTTTGAGCCATGACAGAGGGGCATCAATGAGTTGTTCGGGATTGATAAGCTTACGCGGAAGAGGGCTTCTTCGTGGGCATTTTTCTTGCTGGCTACAAAGGAAGAGTCCTCGCTGGTCCAAACTGGAAAGGACACGTATTTGTCATTGAGCACCTTGGCGATGTTGGGCTCCAAGTGCCGCCGACCAGAGCAACGTAGCTTCTGGTGTGTAGTGGGAAGTAGGCGATAGCTCTGATCCAGCCGATCACACTTCGCCAGATCTAAGACACAAAAGAAACGAGAGGGATCAGCCTTGGGGCAGAACACTGCTCAAGTTAGAAAGCCCATCCAGTCTTACCCAGCTCGATCATTGCGGCCCCTTCGTCGCTGGCATTGCTGTAGCCCACAAAGCGCTTGAACCAATCAAAGAGGTCGTGGTGCTTGGACAAAAACTCCTCCACCAGGTTGATGAGATCTTGTGCCGAAATGATCTCGTGCGAAAACATGTTGAGGCACTTGAGAAAGCTGTCATACACTGAAGCTGGGCGCAACACCTTTTTGATCTGTTCAAAGATGCAAAAAGAAGACCGCAACGTGTAAATGAGGGCTGGTGCTGTCAAAGGCTGAAACCAAGTCCCAGAAAGACAACGGCAGGACGTACGCGATCAAAGTAAGCAAGCTCCTCGGTACTCAGGCCATGCTCAGAAAGCTGTTCAGGCAATGGTTTGGCGCGCTTGGCCCGGCTTTCGCCATCGCTGGCACGCCGGCTCCGGCTCCGGCGAGCCTCGCGCTGCTGGCGGCGCTGACGTTCAGCATGGGCCTGAGCCGCAGGGACGGCTTCGGGCAAAAACTGAGAGAATTCGTCCAGGAGGTCCTTATGATTTGCAAAGAGGTCGGCCACTTGGGAGTAAACCTGTGTTGTTTGTCACAAAGCACACGTGACGACCATGAGGCCAAAGTGTCTTCCTTCAACGCGATCCGGTAAATTGAAGTAGGCAGCCCAGCTTTCCCACTAGCCCCACAGCACCAACCTCGTTGATCGACTTTTGCTCTTTTTGATACGTGTGCAGAATCTCCAAAAAGTTTTTGTACACGCCCAATTGCGTAGCAAAGCGATTCTGTGCCACGAAGCAGAGACCCCCGAGCCACGTTGTGAGCGAACCGCAAAGAAAACATCCGTAATGGTCAGCAGCACGCCTGTCGGGCAATGCTAGAGCTAACCTTGATTTTATTCACATATTGGATAGCGTGAGAAAATTCGAGCTGCTTCCGAGGTTGGCCGTCCGCCTCGGTGGCCGCCATGTTTGCTGCGGCAGCCGGTGTCGCAGCGACAGCTCGTTCCGTGGGGGTGGGCTCAATCTCAGGCTTGACAGCGGTCAGGCCGCGCCCGCCCGCAGTGGTGTGTAGCACTGAGGGCAGGCCCGGCTGGCTGACGAGGATTTGCTGCGGCTACAGTGGTGTAGACATTGGAAAGGGCACGTAAGATATAATGATGCTCGACATGCCATGTGAACCAAGCAGCTCCTTCATGCCAATGGCAGCGCGAGACAAGAAAGATCAACACAACACAAGACAAACCTTTTCACGATCCGGCACCTCGATCTTGTAGCCTGGCGGTAAGAAAGTGTTAAAGCCCACAATGAGGTCGGGGTTTCCCTCAAACAGCTCCGATACTTTTTTAATGACGCCGGGCGTGTCAATTCTACAAGAGCAAAATTGATAAACTGAGAAGTGAGAGAAAGACCCGAGGGATATTCCCACACGTGTCTGGAGACAGTGAGGCGATGCAGGGACGTACTGCTGGCTCTTGAAATCCTTCATGATATCCAAGAACTGATTGTACACTTGAGGCTTGCTACCAAACTGAGCCTTGACCTTGTCCAAATAAGACAAGGCGTCTTCCACCTTCAAGCGCTGATTCTGTGAGCCAGTGCAGAACAAACAAATGAACAAAGAAAGCCGTAGTTACAGCCCAAGCAGGAGTGGATGCCTGAGCAGAGCCAGAAGAGGCGTTCAGACATTCGTAACGAACCGCAGTGGCAGCACTTTCAGGTTTGGCCGACCATCCGGCCTGTGGCCGTGCAGTATTAGCCTTGGTGTCTGGAGCGACCTCCGCCTTGTTGTCGGAGCCGCGGGCGTTGCGTGGTGTCGCATCAGCACCACGCCCGGTGTTTCCGGCAGTCTTGGACGAAGGCCGTGAGCTACCACTTGCACGGCCTGAGTTGGTGCGAGGGCCACGGGACGTGGCGTTGGCACGGGCCGGGCCATCGTTGTTGTTGGCCTTTGAGACCCGGTCCGCAGATGGAACCGCTGCACTGGGCCTGATGTCGTTGAAATGGGGTTGAGACGGGGACAAAAGTAAGATGCAAATGAGCCATGCAGGTGTGATTTCATAATTGTGAGACCCCCTCTCCATACACACACGCATGGAAGACGTTCAAAACACGCACTTGGCCTTTGGTTTCGGCAATTTATCGTCAGAGGTGGCATCGGGATTGGACCGCATGGGCGCATCATTTCGGGGAGTGGTTTTCTTTGGCCCCTTGTTCAAGCCTAAACCATGTGAGGCAGAGGCAGCAGGGGTAAAATTGAGCCAAGGTCGGCCGGAGGTCGAATGACCGCAGACTGCAAACGAATCAAGAGATCTTTTCTGCTGACAACGGGGGCGCAAGGCGATAACATTGAAATAAAACAAGCAAGGGCAACGAACCACTGGAACCCTCTCCGCCATGGCGGGAAGCATTGGCAGAGCTTGGTGGCTTGCCATTGACGGATGGAGACTCGCTCAGACTAGCAAGAGTCGTCTCAGGCAGCAATGACTTGGGCTTGTCGTTGGCATTGTCAGAAGCCGAGGGTGACGACGTTCTGGCGGTCTTGCTGGCCAGTGCATCCGCACCAGTGGACTTGAACCCGGCAGCGGGAGGTGACGCCTGACCCTTTGCATCCGTGGCCTTATCATCTGGTGTTAGTGCGGGCACGGGCATTGTCTTGCTGACGGACTTGTTCTGCGGTTTAGTTGACCCGGCGGCAGAAGAACTGGTGGCAACACTTGTCGCAGTAGTTGACCCCGAGTCACCGGCAATTTGAACTTCGCTCTTGGATGGGTCGGGCTGTTCATTGAGGCCTTGAGGACCGTCACGAATGGCCCCCAATGCATAACCAGAGACAACAGGTTCGGCATCGGCATGCTCAGGCTTGGCACTGGCAGGGGGAGCGGTGTCGGCAATTTTGGTGCCTGACTCTTGGGTCTTGCTGGTGGAGTTGACTGACGACACGGCCGAATCTTTGGTGGTGGCCGACGTTGCTGCAGCAGCGGTGGTGGTGCTGGGACTGCCTTGGACATCTGCACCTGACCTGGGAGGAGAGCCGGACTGCTTTCCTGCGGCAGCAGTGGGTGTGCTCGCTGACATTGATGCTGGCTCGGGCTTGGTCGTAATAGCAGCGCTTGAGGTTGAAGAGGTCATAGGTCGTTCCGTGCTGTCCTTTGGAGAAGTAGGACGCTTGTTGGGCGAAAGTGTCTGGCGCAATGGCGAAGCTGGTTTCTCCGATGCGGTGCTCTCGCTGGGCCGTGTAGCAGCACCCTGCTGCAGCTCTGACTTTTCCGAAGATGCGGTCAGCGAAGGGGGCTGGGGCTTGGAAAGCACTGGGCTTTGAGACACGGAAGAGCTCTTCTCGCCTCCAGTCGGCACCGGCCGGGCATGCTCACGCGTACTCTGGCTGGAGTCAGCAGAAGCTGCCTGACTCGGCTGGGGATTGGGAGAAACCCCGGCGCCCGGGCCCTTTTTGGCCGGTGGCTCTGCTGCCTCATTTGGGGTTCGCGCCGATGCAGGCTTGGTGTGATGCTCGGGTGACTTGGTGGAACCTGCGTTCGCTTGGGTGACACTCGAAGCTGATGTCTGCGCCAGACCAACAACAACCGAAGTGAGTTCAACGACGAGAAGACAATTGCTTCAAAAAGTTGGGAATTGTAAAAGTACATATTGGAGGGGTCTGACTGGTGAACCAAAAAAAAAAAAAAAAAAATCTCATGGTCCGCAGTTTTGGATCAGTGCGTGTGTATGTGGGGGGTGGTTAAGGGCGCGCAGGGGTAAGGCACTCAACAGTAATGTGATGAACACAAAGAAAGAACAAAGGGTGGAACGTCAGATAGACCCGAAACGGCAGCGAGCAAGGTCGAAGCGAGAAGGCAGAGCCGGAACAGTGGATAACACGAGACACACAAAAAAGCCACAAGGGTCTGGTTGCAGAATGGAGGGGGTTGATGAACGAAGCGCAAGCCAGGAATACGTACGCTGGCAGTTGCCACGGCAGGGCCGACCGGATCTGAGTTGGCGAGCAAGGGCAGCGAAGGGCAAAAATCAATGAAGTGAGTTGAGCACAATTGACCGTGGCCAACAAGAGTGATCAAAAGAAAGCATGCCAACAATAAGGCAAGAAAGCAACCAATGAACGAGTCAGGAGAGCAACACCGTGCTGCCGGTGGGAGAGCAAGGCATCGGTGACAAGAATACCCGAGAAATAACAAACACTAGACACTGATGGGGGATATTGCTGTGAAAGGTGAACAACGACAACGATGGTGGTGGCATGGCCCGAGCATCCATTCTGCCCTCGCGTGTGCAAAACATCAGTCGGGCACATGGCAAGCCAAGGGACACCAGAACAGAAAGGTGCATGCCGTGGTGAAGCTTCGGAGCGTAGCACCACGTTAACGGGCATGGGTTGAATGTATGGCGGGAAGACCGTGTGTTGAGGACAAAGAATGGGGAATGAACATGCCTGTTATGGCGGTCGAGGTGCGCAGAGGCTCGGTCGCGGGAGAACGGCTGATTGTGGCGTGGTCAGATGCCGTTGTGGCGGGAGCAGTGGCAGCAGCAGCGGCTTGAGACGAAATGGTAGAGTTGTTGGGCGACTGGTCTGGCCTCTCGACCTTGGGCATGGCCGTTGGCGGTTGCCAATCGTCCCCTTCGTGAGAACGCTTGGCCATCTTGCAAGGGCCACGCGCGTGGACGGCAATGAAGAAGAGGGGCCTTGCCAAGAGGACTTGATCACTATTGCCCAGGCCTACCGCCGCACCGAGCTAGTAGCAGCAAGGGGCAGCAAGGGAGATGGGTGTACTTGTGCGTGTGCGCGCGTGAGTGGAAGCACAACACGCGCGAACCGCGATGAGAGGGATGGTTGGCCCGACAAAGGTCCAAGAAAGGCTCTAGTGGTGTGATGGAGACAAAGAGGCAACGGGCTGAATGAGCCAAAGCGAATCCGGCTGAAAACATGCGTGCAAGTGTGTGGGGGGGTTGGAGGCAAGGGCAACAGAGGGCCGTTACAGATGATTGGTTTGGAACAACTGCACCAAGACAAAGCAGACCAGGCGATGTCAACCGGGATTGAAAGGCCAGCGAGTCTTGAGCGCATGAAAGGGTCGGGCCCAATGGGTAGGTGTACTCTCGAGCACGCAGCGACCTGTACCTCAAAGAGCAAAATGAACAAGCACACTCATGAAGATGAGATTGACACAACCGCCTTGCTTCCTTTCAACCAATTCTGACTTTGCGTATGGTGTGTTTCTCTCTCTCTCTCTCTCTCTCTCTCTCTCTCTCTCTCTCTCTCTCTCTCTCTCTCTCTCTCAAACTCTCTCTCTCTCTCTCTCTCTCAAACTCTCAAACTCTCAAACT